GCAAAAAAAGTAGAAGAGAATGATACAAATGATGATATAGCCTTTCTTGAGATTCGAAACAACCAGCAATAAAAATAAAGGCTCCGGAAATCAATTTTTTTTAATGCGCCTGCCGAAATGTTGATCATTTCAGGACATATATATATGTACATATATACAAACGTTTTGCCACTGGCATCACCAGAACCTAGTACTGCCTTTTCGAACGGCTGGACCGCTTTTTGGACTTTTTTCTTTCTCATCCTCATCACTGCTGTCAGCGAATTTCTTAATTTTGCCACCGCCTATGATGTCGATGTCTTCCACGCTGCGACGTCTTCGAAGTTTACCTTGGCTGCTCACCGAAAAAATGCTTCCTCGAGGCTGGTTTGCGGGGCGTGATGACGGAGGCACAATGCTGTCCTTGGAGCTGTTGCGCGATGGAAAACGAGAACCTTCTAGAGCGGTACCTGTGCAATAGTCAAACAATGAGGACTGAAGAACAGATTCATACAAGCGAATGAAAAAAGAACTGGTTCGTACCAGCCATTCTGTTGAAAAACAAACTAATACATTTTTTTCGTATCACATGTTTCTTGTGGAATCATGCTGGGAATCCCTCCGTACTACTCCTCCGTGGCTCAAATTACTTCTCGGCCAATTTCAATAACTCCTGACCTTTTCATCAGATGTCAGCAATATTAAGGCATGCAAAACGAGATTAACTGCACGCAGAACGATATTCCGCGTGCATCATAAGTTTACATACAGCTGATGCATCAAAAAACAGCTTTGGGCAAGGAAAAGGAGGATGAAGTACTAAATGCTCCAGTGGTAAATGGTCAACAGTTAATTTAAGGGGCGAGAAAAAAACCCGTCAAGAGCAAGCTGAAACTGTGGTACTGAACTTTATGATTTGAAAGACAAATCAAAAATGCCAGCTCATGCTAACTGTTCCTTTCTGTTTGCTACTGCTCGATAACTGCACAGAGGCTTCACAGGCGGCATGCTGGGACGAGGAAAAAGTGTAGCAGGAGGAGGAAATG